AATTTTTTAATGGACATCACAATATCCATTAAAAAATTCAGTCTGGTTTCGGAGCAAATCACAGCCCTGAAACTGCTTTAGTAAATGTAGTGAATGATCTGAGAATTAATGCTGATGCAGATGATGTTTCATTAATTATTCTTAAGGATTTAACTGCTTTATTTGATACTACAGACCACACAATACATCTAAATCGGCTTAAGAACCTGGTTGGTCTTAATGGAACTCTACATATTTAACTGGAAGACTTACTTTGTAGGTATAGTTGAATGTCTCAGAATGTCTGATATTCTCTATGGTGTACCACAAGGCTCTCTACTTGGTCCACTTCTGTTTTCATTGTATATGCTGCCACTAGGTCAGATTATTAGGAAGCATGGCATCAATATTCATAATTATGCAGATGATACACAACTGTATATATCTGTAGCTCCAGACGATGTCCCTACAGTAGACCAGCTCGTAATATGTCTGTACAGCATTGTTAGCTGGATGAATAGCGATTTATATAATGAGTAGCAATTGAAATAATGATAATTAGTAGTGAAGCAAATAGGAAATAGGTGTATGAAAAACATGGAAATCTGGCTCTACAAGTAAAACCTGAAGGTAGGAATCCTGGTGTAACTCTAGACTCGGATTTAGCTTTTAAATCACATTGTTGATTTTTTATTACATTTGTTTCTCCCCATCTCTGTGTTTCCCTGTATTGTAAAGCATTTTGAGTTACATTTAAATCTATGAAAGGTACTCTATAAATAAAGATAATAATAATAATAATACTAATAATAATAATAATAGTAACAATAATAATAATAATAACAATAGTAACACTACTACTACTACTACTACTACTACTAATAATAATAATAATAATAATTAATTATTATTATTATTATTATTATTATTATTATTATTTGTATTATTGATGTTTTAAATTTTGCAATGTTGACAATAAGTTTAGAATTAAAAGATATCCTTAACTCAATCAGATATTTTATCACTTAATGCTGCTCTAAAAAGAAAAAAAAAAGTTGTTTTTAAACAATTAAATGCGTATCTAAGATCAAACAAGTTATATGAGTAGACAGACTGACCACCTGTGTGTCAAATATTTCTTACCAAATTTTCTAAATCGTGAAAAAACTGAAATACTGATCGTTGGTACAGAAACTCAGAGAAAGCTGCTTTATTTATTTATTTATTTATTTATTTATTTATGTATTTATTTATTTATTTATTTTCTAATATTGCTGTTTGTGAACAGTAACTATAATAAAATCAACTCAAATGTAATTTCCTCTCTTGGTGTTAAGAGAAAAGAAAATTATTTTTTTACAGAATTTTCTCTTAATAATTATTATAAATAATAACAATATTATTATCATTTGAACTCAAACTATTGTTTATTCTGGATGTAACTGTCTTGTTCTGTGACTCAATCAGAGAAGCTATAAACTGCCCTGTAAATCTGTTTATGAAAGTCAGAGGTTTGTTCTCCTCAGAGAGACGTGCAGAAACTTATCTCAGTGAAATCCAGACTGAGTCTCTCTCTTACAGTCATACAGTACATTATCTGCAGTCAGTTCACTTCTTTACTCTCCATACTGACACCTTTTATTCTTATCACCAAATACGTCATTCATAAGAACAAATGAGCAGCTAGCAAAACATTTTACTAATAGAAATTCATTTTACACTGAAATTCTTCTAAATTCATTATGACTCATTATTTTCCCTGGTTTTAAATACTTCACTGCTAGTTCTTTCGATGTGGTACTGTGACGTATGTGTTTCTGACCAGTGCAGACTTTGTCTTGCCTGTAAAGGCAGTAACTGCATTTCCAACTAAATCAATAACAGGAGTGCAAATCCTGACATGTAAAGTCCTCCAGCACATCAACCTAAACAGGTGAAGCTGTGAGACTCAAAACTCCTCAGAACATTTAATCTGAACACTGAGTAACTCACATCTACAGCTCTCTGGACCGACAATAACTGGAACATCTTCTTACTCAGTAGTTCATGATGATCTTATCAGCTTCACCTCACAGACAGACACATTAAAGAGGAACTCCACTGATTTTTAAATGTGCAATAATGTATAATTAGATGGTTAAGATGTAAACAGAGTCGTTCAGAGTGGTTTGGTGTGAAACGCTCTGTTCTAGATAATCTTACAGAGTCAGAACTGTTCACAGTGGTGGTGATAGGAACCAGACGTCCACCTCTAAAAGCTCCCTCACAGAAAGTTCCTACAGTAAATGGTTATGAATTCACTGCCTGATGACTGAGACACTGTTTTATGATAGTTTAGAGAAGATTTTGGCTTAAACTCCATTCATGGTGGAGGGATACATGCAGGAGGTAAAATAGTCCCCAAAGAAAACTTATTATTTCAGATTTTCCACTATTTTCCATCATCAACATTCATATAAACTCATACACACTAGTGAACACACACACTAGGGGGCAGTGAGCACACTTGCCCAGAGCGGTGGGCAGGCCTGTCCACAGCTGAAATGAAAGCACTGATTATGGTGGTTATGAAGGTTCAGGGCTGGTTAAAAATATTAAAATACTGGAGGCTGTAGCCCCCCGAACCCCAGGAGACCCCTCTGGTCAGAGCTCAGTCGTTATGTTAAGCCTATGAAGCTGCATTCAGCTCAGATAAACAGTGTCTGTACTCACTGTGCTGCTGTGGTTGACCTCCAGAGAGGTTATTAATACAGACGGTGGTCTTCCTCACGCTGGACTGTAGTAGAACACTCTCCACACAGAGGGTCTCAGACTTCACAGAGAAGGAGAAACACCTGAAGCTCTGTTCACACATTATCAAATTACAGATCTCATGTGAGTAATGATGTGGGAGGGCTTAAACTGGGGGCCGTCCCAGATCACACACGTGGGGGGTGTGTCTCTACAGACTGTGTTATAGTTCCTGCTGTACAAGCTGCTGTTAATGAAGGTGCAGCAATAAAAAGAGCAAAGAGATGATTTTGATTTTGGAAATCTCTGAGCCTCTATTTATATTTTTGGCCAGTCGTCAGGGACCTGATTAGTTGAATATAAAGTGGTAAACCAGTCATAAAGAAGCAGATATCAAGTAAAATATATTGTTATTGCCAAGATTGTGATACGTAAACAATAAACATCTTTATTTTCTACTTTCACCGTGGAAAATGTCAGAGTAGAGCACGTCTGTCCCTGCAAAACCTCTACTACTTTACTACTTAAAGTACTTCTAGTACTTAAAAAAACTGAACCAAATGAAAAAAGATACAAAATCACAAAAACCCAAACTCTGCTCAGCTCCTGAAGTCCAAACCAGAGTTTGGGTTTTTGTGATTCTGTATCTTTTTCACTTTGAAGTCCAAACAGCCTGATGTTCTTCAGAGATGTTGGATATCAAGTTAAATCTGAGGCTGAATCTGAATTAGGGTTAAAACAGACACTGACACTGTTAGTGAACTGGTCTATAGAGACATTAGTATGACAGGTAGTTTCAAGAAATCTTCTTCTTGAGTTGGAGTTTTCATCAGAAGTTTGAAGTTAAAATAGTTTTAAAACTGTAATGGAGAGGATTTTTATCTGTTATCTACAATATTATAACTATCTTTATAAATAGAGACAACTAGTATGAAAGTGAGGTTTAGTGTGAATGAATAAGTCCCAAAGACAGATGTTTACACCCCTCCCATCTGGAAGAAGGTCTACAGAGCATCAGGGTCCTCCAGGTTCTTTCAGACAGATCTACCTGATGGACACATTCAAAACGAGAGAAAGACTGAAGTAAACTAATCAGTACAAACTCATTTTAACCTTCTGTACAGTAATGAAATGTCTGTAATGTTGTTCTGACACATGAGCTTGTATAGCAGCGCCGCCTGCTGGACTGAGAGAGCAGAACCAGTCACAGTGTTAAAGGAAAGTCAGTACAGTGTGATGATCTGGAACACACTGTAAGATACAGGTTTAAACTGGACTGTGGGTCACTGTGCATTTCATCAGAACTCTTATTATAGCAGTGTGGCTTCTAGTAATCAATAACTAATACTGATTATCTCAATCTGGATTAAACACACTGTACACAGCTCTCACAGAGCCACAGGACTGATTCATTTTAGTACCACAGTCTCAGCAGGAAACACTCGGCTGGTTCCTGGTCAGTTCTGGACGAGTGAACATGTTGAATAACTAAAGCAGGAACGGTTCAATCACAGCACTTTAACAGATACAGTAAACAGAACAGCTGAGTTTTTATAAACAAATCTCTCTCTCTCTCTTTCTCTCTCTCACTCTCTCTCTCTCAGGATTTTAGACAGTGGGCTCATGGGGAGGCAAGAACACTGAGGGGCACCACTTAATGATGTATAAAACAAAGTTGCATAAACAAAATATCTGATTTGTTCTTGGGCAAAAGGAATAAATGATACTGTACTGGATTCCCATTGGCTCTTTAGTTCTTAATAGGGTTGAAAATGTTCATTTCCATCTTTGATCACTGACCTGTGAACACTAGCTGAATGAATTGTTCTGAGTAATCAGTAAAGCACAGCATTCTGGATAAGATCAGCTATTAAATATGTGTAATTATGAATGTTAAAGCTTTAAAACTGAATAACTGCTTCTGTTTTATTAGTTACTCAGAACCTCAGTGTTGTATTTGTCCAGTATAAGCTAATGTGGTAATCTTTAATATATGCTGTATGATTTGACAGGAATCGTTTGGATACTTTAAGGTTCCTCAGTGATCAATACTGAGTATATGATGCAGTAGGCTGTGGAGGATCAGTGTGGATGTGGTCATTATGGAGATGAGCTGTACTGAGTATAAGAGGGAGATGAACAGAGGTCAGTTCTGTGTTTAGTGTTGATTAAGTTGCTGATTTGAGGTTTTAGTAAGAAATTAGATCTTTCTGTGAGTCATTCAGTTGTGACAGTATCTACATAATGCTATGTTTGGTGAATGTCCACAAGATGGCAGTATAACACTGTAATTGACAAGAATGTGGGCATTAGATATATTGATACTTGTTACAGTTGCAAGACATATAATCGCACATAAACATACATATATTAGACAAAAATAGATGTAAATTAGACAGAAATAAGAAACAGACATACGTTAATGTAGGAGAGAGTAGAAACAAACATGTCTATTTGGATATTTACATAGTTTATTAAACATTTTATACTGTTTGTTGTACCTCCAGGAGATCAGGAGATCACTGAATGGTATGAAGTAGATACAACACAATGAGTATAAACATAACTAGCAGTATTACAGTGCAGCAGTATTACAGTGTAAAGTGCGCAGTGAGAGTCATTACAGTAGCAGTTGTGATATATTACACAGTGTGTATTAACAGAGAGGTGATACAGTGATGAGGTCCAGCTCAGTTCAGACAGCAGGAGATCAGTACTGTCTCTGCAGTGAGGAGACTCGCTGTAGAGCCGTATATCAGTGGGTAAGAAAGATCTCACACGGCTCTTTAACACAGTCTGACCTGAATGAGCTTCTCTGTTTATCCAGTGTAGCATGCAGGGGGTGTGAGGTGTTGGAACTGTTAAAGTCCTGTACTGAACTGAAGAATCAGTATATCAGATGAACACCAGTGCAGTAACTAACTCTGCAGGCAGAACTGTGATGAATCCTGCACTGAGAGTTTCTGTCCTCTGTGAAGATCAGAGCGGTCAGTGTTCCAGCCAGTCGTTATCAGTGAAGGTTTTCAGGAACTGGAACTCCTTCAGTGTTTTCTGCTGGGATAAAGCACCGTCCATCAGTGGGGACACTGTCCGTACTTTAAAATCCTTCAGCGTCTTCAAATACAGATCCTGCCTTTGAGCTTTCCACAAATGATGAGGAACTCCTGGAAGGAGAGAACAGTAACTCTGCAGGGTTCTCCTCAAAGATTCCTTCCGGGCATCCGTTGCTAAATACGTTTTCTCAACACCACCAAAGTTCAGTGAGCAAAGCCGCAAGCCCAGCCACGAGGGCAAAGTTGGACAGGACTAACTTCCACACTGGCACATCAGAACTAAGATCACTGTCCAGGCTCTGCTGGTCATCTACAACACAAAAGCATGTTGTGAGTTTAAACTAACAGTCACAATAAAACAGCAACAATACGTTGCTTAAGCTGTATCAACTACACTGAAGACGTACCTTGGACGGTCACTGTGTAGACGTGGATGACCTCTTTATTGATGGTGTCCCTGATGGTGTAAACTCCACTATCAGATGGAGTCACTCCTCTCAGCTTAACAACAGCTGTGAGTGATGCTCTCTGAGTGTAATCAGATTTACACTGTAATGAGTGTCCATCCACTGTACAGATGTGACCACTGGGTCGATTAGCTGCACCTGTGCTGTTATAAATCACCTCCACTGGATCTGATACGTCCAAATCCAGTATGAGATTTTCACCAGCCTTTATCTGAACTGAAGAACTCAAGGCTGAGGAGAGAAAAAGAAATGCCACACATCAGATTACCAGAGGTGTGGACTCGAGTCATATGACTTGGACTCGAGTCTGACTCGAGTCACGAATTTGATGACTTCAGACTCGACTCGAGAAAATCGAGAAAGACTTAAGAATCGACTTTGACTTCAACACCAGTGACTCGGACTCGGACTTGAGCATCATGAATCAGAAAGACTCGAGACAGGACTCTACACGGTCGATTATTTTTCAGATTTATTTTCAATTTATTTTCATTTGAATGAATTTGTTTCCTGCTGTGAACTGAATAAACAGCAGCGTCGTCAGACGTCTGTTATTCTGCTTATGCTCAGCTTACTTTATGTCAGAAGACAAGAGAACCGTTAGAGCTCAAGTTCACCTCCATAAGCATCAATAGGCCCTCACTCAGCGCTTAAACTGCAGTCTTACTGAAAAACTGTCCAGGTGAACTGACCGTTTTCTCCATGATGGTAAATCTAAACACAGCTCTTTCTGTTCTTCTGCAGGTGAAATAAGCGCAACATTCACCACGAAGCTGAACTTCACTTTTTATTCACCCGCTTCGTATTGGAATTTGTCGTTCCACCTTAAACGGTGCAGCAGTTACGTTCCGGCGCCTCAGAAAGTTCTAACAAGAAGCAGTGAAAAAAGTCAACTTCAGCTTCATACATTCACCATTATTTTACTGTCTTTTCTGTAAATCTGATCAATTTGGTCTAAATTCAATTCAAACCTGCGATTGTTTTGAATTGAGCTAGTTTTTATTTTAATCCTGTGTTCCCAACGTTCCCAAAAATCCTTAAAAATTAGCTTCAATATTAAGTTTTTTTTTAATTAAGTTCAGTAGTAATTTAAAATCCTTTTCCTGTATAGTTGTACTGCTCTTTGTGTGTACAGTATGCCTGTCATGGGTATCTGTGTACCATGGGTTTTGTAGCTTACTGGAAGGGTTGGAAGGGCATTAATATAGAGCCAAACGCTGCTAACAAGCTGTCATTAAAAGACTACAGTACTGTTACCATTATTCAGTGTTGTGGCCTTTAGTGAAGAATGCAAACTGACTTGTTTAAGACTCGAAGATTAGGACTATTGACTCGGGACTTGACTCGGGACTGTGAAGACTTGTTACTTGCAACTTAGTGACTTGTTTCGACCTCTGCAGATTACAAATCTGCATGTAAACCATTAGGATGTCATTATTAAGGTGCAGCACCATAACAAAGTCTAAAAGAGCTGCATTTAAATCAGTAATGAAGAAGAAAAACAGAAGAGAGACTCACGATTAATCTGCAGCTTCACATCACAGAGATCTTTACCATCACAGTCACACGTGTACCAGCCTCTCTTAGTGAAATCAGCGTCAGTGATGATGAGAGAGAGATTCCCCTTCAGGTACTGATCATGGATCATCTGATATCCCTCCTTCACTGATCTACATGAAGTCTGATCACACTCAGCCAGAGCATCAGTGGATTTATGGAACACAGTCCATCTGACCAAACCAGAGCATCTCTCAGAGCAGGGCAGAGTAGCAGAGTCATGAAGATTCACCTTCACTGAAGGAACAGCTGATTCAGACCTGAAAGAGGGATTAACACAAAGAAACAACAACATAAAAACAGGAAAAAGGAAAACTGCACAATTACAAACATTTCCATTAATCAGAAAAAAGATATGTTTGCCAACACATGTAAAGGTTAAAGGTTACATGGTCTCCCCTCAATTGCTTGTAAGTTCTCTACTCTTTCAGGTGAGGATAAAGTCACCAAACTCCTGATTATCACCAAGAAGAGCACCAGAACGCTGATGCTATCAGTGTGAAACGTTCAGCACCATAACTAGTGAACACGTCTCCTGCAGTTTAAGGTTGGTACACAATATGACTACTGACGATACGAGTATTTCCATATTTCATAACTGAAAGCTTCCCGTTTCAGTGTTGTGGCTAAATAACACTCAATATTAGTACAGTCCTGTCATCTCAGCTCTACAAGAGCTATCCAGCCAAAGCACGTTTCATGCCTTTGACTTAAACCTGACTTAAACCTGACTTAAACCTGACTTAAACCTGATTTGTTGATAGATGGTCTGATGGACTATTGATCCACATATGAAGGTAGTGGTGCACATTATGCATTTGTGTTGATTTAAACAGATCTGTAAATAATCAGAATGTAATTTTTATGTGATATTTTTAAACACGATGATCGAGATCTACCAGCATTATTCACATTTAACGCACATGGACATATATATGTTTAGACATACATTTTTCATGGGGTTTACTTAATTTTTCACAGCACCCTACATAACTGTATCATTAGAGAAGTACCAGTAAATTTATGCAGCACAAACTGAAGTGAAATTCAGCAGTGAAGTCCTTAAGAAGGTCACCTCTTCCACACACTTACCAACAGTGACTGTAGTGGTCAGTAAGATCAGGACACAGAGAGCAGAGCTGCAGGACTGCATGACTGACCTACAGACACACAAAAATGACCGTTCATTCACTCTAAACATCACCAGTTATGGGAAATAACAGAAATGTAGTTTTTACGTTACTATAGAACTTTACAGCAGCCATCAAATAGGTTTATTACAGACACTAAAAACTGGACAATATTTGTCTCACAAATGTTTTTCACATTAAGTATAATTACAAACTGCAAATCCCATCACTAATATATTTTAAAATGATACGTTTACTGCTATGGAAATAATGAACTTCTCTGAAAATGTGTTAGAAAGAGCACCACAGTTTTAAAAGCTGTATAACACAGCGAGTGAACTACAGTCATGTTGGTATTACAGTGTTTGACTGATACAGAACTGAACTGTTATGGTTTAAACATAAAAGGAATGTTTTGGGTCAGTTTTTGAATTTAAGGATGCTTCAGTCTCTAAAGGGCTGTGCAGGATCACAGTGAAACATGACAGTGTAATAAATACCATACCTGTTGAAATGTGACATCACAGTAGGTGGTCTTAGCCTGCGCTCAGTGATATGAGGGGCTGTTAGGGGGCGTTTATTACAACGTCATGTCCCACTTCAGAGGCCAATTTTGCTTATATTTTTATTTTTGTACAAGTATAACAGTCATAGCTATGACACAGATATGCAGCTCCTAAAGGAAATGCTGACAAAATCCAACTAATAATAATAATAATAATAATAATAAAATAATATTATAATAATAATAATAATACGTTTACAGCAAAACCTTCATTGTTTACTATAATTTCAAATCATAATAACTACAACACACAAAACACAGAAGATTCCAACATCCAACTTTTATTTGGAAATTCAAGAAAATGTCTTTACTGATATTATAAAATATCTTAAAACATATTAAAGTTATGAGAGTGAAAATGAACATCATCCCTCTGGCTGAAATGATCTACATGGTTTTAAATGGAGTCAGTGTGTTAAGTGGTTCAAGCTGTAGTAAAGGCAAGAAAATAGGCCAAGTGTTACATCCCGCTAGAGGGCGCTCATCACACAGTGACGTACCACCGTTATTTATAATGCGCCACTGCAATAACTAACACACACCACCAGGGGGCACCAGTGACGTACCACCGTTATTTATGTAACGACTGTCACCTGAACCGTTATTTAAAGCTCACAGTACAGAACACTAGAGGCTGTAATTCCTCACACAAAACACATTTATCAACATAACTCCATCATTTTAGTGGATCAGTGTATAAAAGCTGCTTTAATATTAAAGATCATCCAAAACACACAAATCTAATCTCCAAACACACTTCAGCTCTGAGTCACTCACCGCTCTGTCTGTCTCACTGCTGGAGGAAATCCATCCTGATGGTGGGAACACTGTTTATTATCCGAATATCAGGAATAGTACAGAAACATACGGCTGACCGCTGCTCTGTTCCTCCTGCTCCTCCTGCGCTGTTCACAACTTTTCTTTTGTTTTGGTCTTCTGTAAACACGGGGGCGGGGCTTCAAGTCCTGTACACTTTCAGTTTGAATTCACAGTCAGAACTGTTCACAGTGGTGGTGATAGGAACCAGACGTCCCCCTCTAAAAGCTCCCTCACAGAAAGTTACTACTTGAAATGGTTATGAATTCACTGCCTGATGACTGAGACACTAATCGAGATGGTTTTTGTCCAAATTGTATTTTTTTCAGATTTTCCATTTTCCATCATCAACATTCATATAGACTCAGAAGACTCGTGTGGGTTCACTGGTGGTTCTGGAGAGTAAATAAAATGTCTATATTTGTACAGCACTGCTGTGTTACTCAGAAAATGTCCATCACCTTTTTCACATTTCTTTATTTAAATATTTATTTTTTACTTTTAATAAGTTTCTTTTTTACGCCCCTCCCTGCTGGCTGAGGGGAAACCATCAGGTCTTTGGTGTTAATGTTCTCTGGATTGCTCTAGTACAGTGATCATTAGCACTGATGCTAGAACATCACCAACACATTGAACTGTAGGATGTAATAAAGCCCAAACCTGCTTCATTTTAATTTTATACAGTCATGCAATAAAAATATATAATACAAATAAAAACAAGCACACTTTACTTTTAAGTATCCCAAACCACTTTATTCACTGCTGTCACAGCAAAATCTCCCATCTCCATTTTTGCCTTTGGGTACATTTTTACAGAATTTGAAAACACCAGCTGCTCTTTACAACACACTAAACTTTCATGATGAATAGACCAAACTTTTATCTCCAAAAACGTCATTTTACCAGAGAAAGAAAAAGCTTTTTAACTTTGAATGGAAGTTAATTTTGGATTATTTACATTCATCATGAAATTATAACACAATGTAAAATGGAACTGGAATTTTCAAATTATGAAAAAATGTAAAAATAACAAAAATGGATTTTTTTGCAAAACAGTCAATTTCTCACTGGATTCAGTCAAAACAAGTCACGAAACTGCAAAATGATCAAATCCACAAAGTTTAAAATCCATATAAAAATCAATTTTATCAAATCCTTGTAAAAAGTATCAATGACTTCTGTACAAAAACATTTAGACACACAACCACACTGCTGCTGTGATGGTGTGACTGCAGCACTGCTGCTTCTGTTGAGGAGCTGATGGGTTTGATTAGATGTTCTACAGAGGAGAAGAACAGCTGTAGTACAGGAGCAGTGCTGGAAACAATGTTCTAGATTAGTGTTTCTGAATGTGCTGCTGGAGAACCGCAGCTCTGCAGTCTCTCTGTTCTCTGACCAAACACACCTGATCCAGCTGATGAAGAGCTCCACAGTCAGTAGATGATCTGACCTGAGGAACAGTGAACCTGTACAGAGCTGATTAACACACACTGATCTAGAGGAACATCAGAACTTTAACTCTTTAATAGAGATTAGAAACACTTTCTTCACTTCTCTGAGACTGAAAACTGAAGGCGGTGAAGACTCAGTAGCTGCCTGTAGTCGCCTGTGATCAGAAAGCTTCAGTGCTGAATCTGATCCATCTGATCAACCACTTCACTTACAGACTGATTCATCTGAATCTATGAAGAGTTTAACTGTCCTTCTACTGTCTCTGCTGACCATCAGTCCACTGTAAACAAAGCAGATAAGGTCCAAATCTAATCAGACTCAGGGCTGTGTGAACTCAAAGGAGTTCAATAATTCAACACATCAAAACAAAACAAAACAAAACCTGTAGAACAAAATCTGGTATTTGTTGTTTTTCAATTTTTTAATATAATTTGAAATGACCAGCTTTCCTTCACACTGCGTGAAAATGTTGTCACCATCAGAAATGGTGTAAAATTCCTTGTGATAAAATGTTTTTCCATTAACTGACACTGAAAATGGAGATTTATTTTTGCTCCTCCTGTAAAATTACCATTTTGGAGATCTGAGGTTTTGTTCCAACAGCAATGAAATACACTGACGCTGTTGGCTGGATGTTTTGGTTGGTGAACTATTCTCAGTCCAGCAGTGACACTGAGGTGTTTTAAAGTGATCCACCACCCAAATAATACCTGCTCTGTGAGGGTCCTGTAGGGGTCCTGACCACTGAAGAACTGGGTAACAAAGTATGATGGACCACAGTCTGTAACTGTAGAGCTACAGAGTGAAACTATACGGTCAGTGGAGCTGATAAGATGGACAGTGAGTGTAGAAACAAGGAGGTGGACCTAATGAAGCGGCTGCTTGGTGTACAGTTTAAGCAGAACATCAACCCTGTTCACCTGACTGAGTTCCACAAAGCCGAACAGAGGGAACAGTATTAAACTCGTTTAACAACTTTCTCTGCTAAGCTGTTCATTCAGATACTCAGGCTGTGTTTAGTGCTCTGAACATGAAAGTGTGATGTCTATGATGAACAGCCAATCATGTGAAATCATTAGAGTCTGTTTAAACACAGAAAATGAATCATTACATTAATAACATCTCAGTGCTTATTGGAGTAATAAGTAGTTCACAGCCCTGATATCTGTAGTATAATTCATTTTCTCTTACTAAGAACCATAAGAACTGATCTTCATGTGATTCATGCCACAAACGTCACTAAGAAAAGCGTGACTGGACTCCATCAGTCCCTGATTAGTCAGAAGCTCAGCTCTGATTGGTCAAGTCAAGTCAGTCTTATAGTGCTTTTTACAGCAACGCTGTCCAGATCCTGAGCGTAATCTCTCTCAGAGGTCCTGGTCATTCATTATCGTGGGGTGACAGTCTCTCTTCACCTGGACTGTGGTCAGAGTGATGGTTCATCTGAGCTCGGTTCTTTGCACCTTCCATTCGTAGAAGCAGATTTTCTCTCCTCAGCAGCAGAATCACCACCACTAACCCCACAATCACAGCAGCTCCCATCACACTCAGTACAATCACCCACACCGGTACAGCAGCTCCTTTATCTGTGTCCAGATCTGAGTGGTCACCTACAAAACAAACACACACAGATCTGTAATACAGCACATCTGAACCACAGATGGGCCTACGCTGCACTATTATAACCTGATAGTATGAAGTGATTTTCCAGGTGAGGAGCTCCATCAGAATGACTGACGATGCACAGTGAGATGGTCAGTCTTTAGCCCTTCAGGCCTTCTGACATTTTCAAACATGATTGTTTTTATGACTCAAAGCTTTGACGAGTCCTGTAAAGTGAGATGGTTAGTAGTGTAACTGATGGAGTGATTGAGCAAAAGCCAAAGAGAGTAAAAAGAGAGAAAAGTAGGAAAAATAGGAAAATATAGAATACAGTTCCACACTGTGCAGGTTTCGGTGTGATTTTCAGTCAGCTGGACTTTTTGCACCATGGAGCTTCATATTTTGCAGCCAAACAGAAGAATTAAACTTTCTTTCCTATCTGCTTGCCTGGATTTTGCCTGATTTATATCATGGATATATATTTTCAGAGCTAACTAGCTTGGAGATCCACAAGGCTACCGATCAGGAAAAGTCAATAATGGCTCAGTATTAAAAGGCTGAACAGCAGATGTGTTCAGATAACCGGCCGACGCTCAGTGGTCAACAGCGAAGGGTTGATTTCAATGCATCCATTTGACAACACAACCCAAAGCATGACGAACACAGTGACCTATGAGTGAGCAGATAAATTTTACTTTATTTACTTTATTATATGAATACAATACAGCTATACATCCAGATTAGTCTGACAGCGGCTACTGAATAATTCAGATGAACTTCTCTGACGAATCTTTAGCTCAAAGGCTCGGTAGTTACCCCCGGGTTTAAGGGGTCAAATCGTTAGACTATAGACAGGAACCATGTAATGAAGAACCTCTGTGTTCAGTTCCATCTCAGTCAGCTTACACACCACCACCAGAACATCAGCACTTATCTGGAAATTGCATGTCTTGAGGAGCAAAAAAAATAATTAATTAATAAAAAGCAACAATACTAAAATAATAATTCATACCTTGGACGG